TCATAGCACATATCCAAAGTAGATCTAAGAACTCTTAATCTCAAGGTAGCTATTAAGCACAGAACATTGGTCTTGACATGTTTGGTGCCTTAGGGATTGTACAGTTTGCATGTTAGAAATAAGAATGCCTTTGCCATTCAGCCAAGGAAGCAATTATTTCTGTAGCTGATTATTATTTATATAATGATTGGTTAAAATAGGGTGTATTTGCTGCTGCATCTTATGAAAACACTAAAGTGTTTGCCTTTCATTTTCCATCCCCTACTTGTAAGACCTTGGTGGGTTAAATCCCTTCCTCACACAGCCAGTATTTTCCTTGATGGTACATCTTCCTCTTAGGCCTCAAGACACACTCCACCCAGTGTCACTATTAATTCCATGGTCTTGGAGACATAGGGCATTTCCAGACAGCAAGTTATTGGAGGCAAAAACGGGTTAAAGTAACCCGTTTTTGCCCATGTTCCTGTCCACATGGGTGCCCAGATGAAGCGGGCTTTCCCATCACTTGTCCCCATTCCACATGGTAACTACCACCATGGAATGGGAACAACCCAAATTCTCCCCCTAAAACCTATAAAATAAAATTAAACATATCAGGCCACCATTATGCCTCTCTACATGCTTCCTGGTGCATACCAATATTGCACTAGGAAGGGGCGGCAAGAGTGATTCCCCCACTTTTCCTACAGCAAAACTGGTTCATTCTAAGAAGCATGCAAAGAGGCATAATGGTGGCCCAGTTAAGCTTTACTTTTCATTTAAAGATTTTAGGGAGGGTCTGGGGAGGGGGTGGGTTCCCTTTTTCATTCTATGAGCACATGGGCCCCAAAGAAGCAAATTAGGCCATGGGGACAAACTACTGGGTAATCTGAGACTACCCAGCAGTCTGTCACCACAGGGCCCATACTCCATTAGATCTGGGCCTTTCATGAAGACCTGGGTCTAATAAAGTATCAAAATAATTCACAACAAAGCAGTGTCACAACTTCTTCCTCTTTTACCTGAGCATTTGTTTGGAGGCCGTGGGTAAAATTCTGCCAGGGCCCACATTTTGGGCCCTGTCTGGATGGGCCCATAGTATGAAAGTAAGAGTGATAAGAAAGTAAGAGATGTTATAAAATCCCAGTGTTGTTGAATGCTTCATAGATATTTCATCAACATGTAGTGTATGACATTCCTCTGTACCTTAAATATTAAATATCTCCTAGCAGTGTGTAGGCTGTGTTTTTTCCAACACCGTAAACAGGACAAGGGACATTATAAAAGCAAAATTTATGTGGTCCCTCTAGTGGGGACTGGTGAGCCTCTTTCTGAGAAAATGCATCAAATTCCACACAGTACCTGTCAAAAATGAAAAGGATTGTTTTGGTGGGTGCTGTGTACTCTTAAAAATAATCCAGCTCAGCTAGTGTGCTCTGGCAGCTGTCTGCAAAGCTAAACCAGCCAAACAACTTTTCTTGGGTGTGGAACCTGGTGAACAATTAGCCCTGAGCAGTGAAACTCTAGAGCCACACCCAACTCGACTCTGACTTCTTGTCTTATAGCTGGGACTACATTATGACAGGGATGGCCCAGTTCTGATCATTCTCATGATAAAAGCTCTGCCACTCTGTTTATAGAAAAATGCATTTCTTCTTTAGGTGTTAAGTAAGTACAGCTGGTGACGATGCAGATTAATTGTGCTGGAGACATTTGGTTTTGGTGTGGCTTGTTCTTTGCAATGCTTTGGTATTTGCCTTTGCTGTGAGAACTTTATTTCTCTGTTCATCCTCGCCGCAGGAATCTAGCATTCTGTGAGACATACTTTTGTGATAATGCCATCAAACATGCTGACAACACAGAATATTGTTTACTTAAACAATGGCAGCATTGTTTTAAAATATTAGAAAATAAAATAAAATGAGATTTTAGTAAAGTTCCAGTAGCATACTCTACTGGCCAACAGCTCTTACCATCAAGATGTTCTTCCTAATGTTTAAATAGAATCTCTTCCTATTATTTAAATCCATGTCCTAGTCTCTAGAGCAGCATAAACAAGTTGCCTTTATCTTCAATATGATATCCTTTCAAATATTTAAACATGGCTATCATGTCATCTCTCAGTCTTCTCTTCTCCAGGCTAAACATACGTAGCAATTTTAGATTGTTCCTCATAGGCTTTTTACCATCTTGGTCATCCTCCTCTGGATATGTTCCAGCTTGTCAATGTCCTTCTTGAACTGTAATACCCAAAACTGGATGCAGTATTCCAGATGGAATCTGACCAAAACATTTGTTTTTAGCTGCTGTTGCTGCATCATATTATTGAGTTATGTTCAGCTTGTGGTCTATTAAGACTCCTATATCCCTTTCATAACTATTTTTATATAATTTCTTGTTATTATTGTTATGTGACATCATGTCAGTGTCAACTTACGGAAACCCAATCCTAGAGGTATGCCATTGGCTTCTTTTTAGACTGACAACCTCATCAGATGGGCTGGTTTGTCCATTGTACACTACTTGCTCTCCACTTTTGACATGGAGCCAATAAAAACAAAAACAGCAGCAACTTTATTTTTGTACCCTGCCTCCATTTCTCCAAAGGGACTCAGGGTGGCTTACAAATGGCACAAAGTGCCAAGACAAAGCATAAAATAAACACACAGTACAATAGGGAGCCCCCGGTGGCGCAGTGGGTTAAAGCACTGAGCTACTGAGCTTGTTGATCGAAAGGTCGCAGGTTTGATTCCAGGGAGCGGCGTGAGCTTCCACTGTCAGCCCTAGCTTCTGCCAACCTAGCAGTTCGAAAACATTCAAATGTGAGTAGATCAATAGGTACCGCTCCGGCGGGAAGGTAACGGCGCTCCATGCAGTCATGCCGGCCACATGACCTTGGAGGTGTCTACGGCCAACGCTGGCTCTTCGGCTTAGAAATGGAGATGAGCACCACACCCCAGAGTCAGACATGACTGGACTTAATGTCAGGGGACTACCTTTACCTTTACAATATAATAAGTAAAAACTATAGCACATAAAAACAACAATTTAAAACTCAGAACTATGCTCAATGACCTATAGTGACAACTACCTTAAGATATGGCCAAACTGTAAACAAGACAAGAGAATGGGATACGCTAAAGAACAGGGCATGGCATGAAAGTGATGCACAGGGACTTCTGCCTGGGCTCTGTGGCTAAAGAGAGCAAGTGATATATAATGGACAAATTAGCCTGTCTGATGAGGTTGTCAGTCTAAAAGGAAGCCAATAACAAACCCCTAGTGGCAATGCTTCCAACCCATGGGATGGGGGTCAAGGTAAGGTGGGCAAAGCAGAGCATGGAGCAACGAGTTCTCCACACCTCCTGCTGGGACCCCATGTGATTTGTCACAATGTGTGGTGAATCCACGGGCCTTTGTAATGAGATCCTTAGAGAGTGTTCTTTGCCCAAAATCATTGAATAGATTTTGTATCACTGAGCAGAGATCAGTCCTTGGTCTCCTAGCATCCTACCCCAATGCTCCTCAAACCACCACACCATGTTGGCTCTCATAATTTCTTATCCTACCTCAGAAACTGAGAAGTTGTCAAAACTGGTTAAAAGCTTAGACCATGCATCCCCTAAGGCTGAATAAAAGGTTTATCTGTCTATTAACATAACAGCAGCTGCCTCCCACTTTAAAAGGTATGACTCCTGGGTGGAATTTAAGTCCAATTCCAGTACTCAATCATAATGGGTCTTAAGTAATTTGATCAAGAGACATTCGGCTGGGAGTGAGCGGGGGTCTCCATTGAGATCTGGCCCAAACTGAAGCTGCATGGGTACATAAGGAAGGACTGCTTGCACTGCTAAACTTATCTAAGGTGAAAGGAAGGATTTAATATTTAGCTGAAATGGCAGCAATTTCAACAGGAGGAGGAGTGATCAGAAATATTTTTTAATATTATTTATTTATTATATTTCTATTCCACCTTTCTCTGCAACACAGACCCAAGGCGGCTTACAAACAGAATAAAAACATTAAAATCCTTCAATCAGGAGAACAGAATAAATAAAACCATGATAAAACAGCAATCAATAAAATCCCACATTTCAGTTTAAACCATAACCTCCTATCCCATGTATCCCTCCTCCATTCCGATCATAAAATCCCCAACTCCTGCCATGGCTCAATTAAAGGCCCTGTTAAATAAGAAAATCTCAACTCCTTCCTAAAGCTGAGCAAAGATGGAGCAACCCTTAGTTTTTCAGAGAGGAAGTTCCAGAGGGCTAGGGCTGTATCCGAGAAGGAGCCTTCTCTAGTTATGTGTAAATGCATACTGGTGGGGGCTCACATATCGATTCGAGTTTACCCACTTGATTTACACCCTGAGGTGTACAGGGGGACACAGTGCTCCAGAAAGGCTGGACCAAAGCCAAATAGGGCTTTATAGGTGATGAACCAGCACCTTGAATTGAGTCTGGAAATGGACAAGGAACCAATGGAGCTCCTTCAGGGTAGGAGCAGTACACTTCCTGAAGTTAGCACTCATCAGAAGTCTGGCTGCTGCTTTCTGAATGAACTGCAATTTCTGGATGATCTTTAAGGGCAGACCTATGTAGAGTGTGTTGCAATAGTCCAGTCTGGATGTAACCAATACCAGCACCACTGAAGCACCACTGAGACCAGGTCTGGAGTTTCTAGGAATGGGTGCAGTTGGCGCACAAGCTTTGGTTGTATGAAGGCTGACCTAGTCACTGCCACCATCTGGGCTTCCAGATTTAAAGTGGAGTCTAGGATGACCCCCAAACTGTGCACCTGAGATTTCAAGGGGATTGCAACCCCATCCAGGTCAGGTTGAAATGATGTTCTACCTGCCATATTGAAAAGTCATTAAATGTTCTTTCTCAACTCTCTTCAAGTAACTCCAGAAGGCAGAAATAGAAAGAAATATGAAAATTAAAGGCATTCCAACAGTTTTAATAACAGATAAATAGCTTCTTGTCATGTTCACTCCCACTTCTTTTTTTTAAAAAATCATTCATTTCTACATTATGAATCAGCAGGCAGGAATTGTTTTTTGCTGATAGTACATAAACACCTGCATGAAGAATGAAATAAAAATATTTTAGCAACAATAGTAATGATACCAGTATCATCAAAATTACTCTTTCTTGGGCTATGTTATGTATATTTTGAAACAGAGTTTGAAGCTTTAAACATATATGAGCATTGATGATTTGTTGATTCAACCTTGAAGATGCACTCAAACCCAAAATGCAACTTTCCGTTCCACACTGCTGTCAAATTCTGTTCCATTCCAAATTCAGGTCTCCAGCTGACATTTCTAACATCCAGATTTTTTTACCACAAGGAAACTTTACAAAACAGCATGGCAAACATAGTGCTCAACTTAATAGATTACAACTGACTGTGTATGTATCTGTAAATCTATACATACAGAAAGATCGCTGTGTTTGTATACGATTACACTCAGTATGTACTGATGTGTTTTATGCAGATTTATTGAATTAAATCCCACTTAATTCAATAAAAGTAACATCTACATAGATGTACACAGGGTTTTCTGGATAACATTATCTGAAGCACATCTATGCAAAAGATATACATTTGAAGTATAAATGGGTGTAATCTTAGATTGATACAAATTCATTATGTCTTTCAATGGCTATTTGCAAGATTGAACACTTTGAATAGCCTGAAAAGGTGGTGTCCTCTGCTGTTAAGTGATCACTTATGGAGTGTACTTGGTGGTCAATGAGGCAAGAGACTGTTATGGAATCGGAAATGGCTGCCTAAAGTCAGAATTGGTTCTGTGGGAAGCCTTCACTGCCTGCTATTATATCATAATGTGAAGTTCTGATATTTGAACCAAGCACAAAAGGATCAAAGGACAAAATATTCTTATTGATTGTTGGTCTGTTAGCTTCTGCTATCATTAAACAGATGTCAAGGTGTCCATTCCAGCATTCTTTAAGTATCAATGGATGTTATCAGCCACATTTCTTATTGCATTTATTGTTCTAAATAATACGTATGTTGGTTTATTACTCTGAGCCAAATTACATGGTGTCTGTGATCTTGTGTATTTTGTTCTTCAAATACACTTGTTGTTTATTTGCTCAGTCACTTCTGACTCTTTGTGACCTCATGGACCAGCCCACATCAGAGCTTCCTGTCGGCAGTGGCCACCCCCAGCTCCTTCAGAGTAAACCCAGTCACTTCAAGGATACCATCCATCCATCTTGCCCTCAGTCTGCCCCTCTTCCTTTCTTCCTTCCATTTCCCCAGCATCCTTGTCTTCCCCAAGCTTTCCTGTCTTCTCATTAAGTGGCCAAAGTACTGCATACAGGTTTTCATTACTTTAAAGGAATCTTGAAAAGAAAGAAAAAGAGAAAAGGAGAAAAAAGATTAGTCTTCTCATCAGCAGTTATACAATTAATTATACCTGACTCTCTAACACACAAATTCTCTTCTTTCCAAGTTCAATTCTTTTTAATCATCAAAATCAACAGTAAATAATTTTTTTTATTTTATTTTCTTTGCAAAAGTCCATAGAAGGCTTCCAATTTTTTTAAGTATAGTAGATTACTCAAATTTAGTAAACACTTTATACATTATTACTGGTTCTATCAATTTTGACAGCAATCTCCCATATCCTTTCCATCTCTATACATCAATCTATACATCTTCTTTACGACAGTATATGTAGTTTCCCATAACATCTCTAAACTATTTTTTATCTTGGAGATGCTTATTTTGTTTTGTTTTAAATTGATTGCTTTGCAATATTTATTTCTACAAGACTCAGTGGCACATTCTTTATATTGCTGCTCATTTAATTTTAAACAGAGCTGCATTCCTTCACTATCAGTGACCAAGACTGAGAGAGCAGGACTGAATGTTTAGCTTAAACACAATCCCCATACAGGGGTAGAAGAGGGAACAGTTTCATATGCTGGGAGTATCCTTTCTGCAATAACTCAGCAAGTCTATTTCAAAAGCTAGACTTTTGGTGTTCCCCAAGGTGTCATAAATGCAAGATAAGTAAGTTCTGCCTTCTACTAGTGCAGTGGCTCTCAACCTTCCAAATGTCATGACCCCTTAATACAGTTCCTTATGTTGTGGTGACCCTGGACCATAAAATTATATTTGTTGCTACTTCATAACTGAAATTTAGCTAGCATTGTGAATCGTAATGTAAATATCTGACATGCAGGATGCATTTTCATTCACTGGACTAAATTTGGCACAAATACCCAATACGCCCAAATTTGAATACTGGTGGGGTGGGGATTGATTTTGTCATTTGGAAGTTGTAGTTGCTGGAATTTATAGTTCACCTACAATCACAGAACATTCTGAACTCCTCCAACAATGGAATTGAATCAAACTTGGCACACAGAACTCCCATGACCAACAGAAAATACTGGAAGGGTTTGGTGAGCACTGACCTTGAGTTTTAGACCAAACTTGGCATGAATACATACTCAATATGCCCAAATGTGAACACTGGTAGAGTTTGGGGAAAATAGACCATGACATTTGGGAGTTGTAGTTGCTGGGCTTTATAGTTCACCTACAATCAAAGAGCCCCTTCAACCTCACTAAACTTCCCACACAGAACCCTAATGACCAACAGGGAATACATAAGGAATTTGGGAAGAACTGACAGTTATTTAGGGGAGATGAAGTTCACCTACTTCCAGAGAGCACTATGATGATCTTTGGCAACCCCTCTGAAAACCCCTAGGTTGAGAAACACTGTACTAGTGGAAGGATGCTACTCTACAGATTCTTCTGCCTGATTTTGCAGAGTATCATCCTCCTTCCAACACACACACACACACACGGCTCTCTGCCTTCCCTCAAGTGGGAGAACTAATCCTTTCAATTTCCTTGACATTATTTTGAGAGAATTCTGCCCCTCGCAGTTCACGTCCTACAGTAGGATCCCCTAGTTCACAATAGTCAAGAGGATAAGGGATAGGGGACTATTATAGGAAGGAGGGAAGAGGGAGTCTGGTAGCCCAGTTTGTCACCCATAGATCTTGATGCCACCACCTGCAATTGAATGTAGCAATCCCCAAAATTGTTGTTGTTGTTGTCGTCAATGTTTAAAAAGCCTCAGGAGACTGTGAGAAGAGGAAGGACAAGGAGAACGGATGTGCCTATCCCTTTCCCTGTAGGTCATTTTCAGTCCCCAAACTGACATAGTACTGTGCAATTCACTACTGTAAACAAACACTAGAAATTCAATGAGACAGGAAAAGCATCTTAGGGAAGAGTTTTTCCAGGAGAAAATAATCTTGTTTATTTGTTAGATATTTATCCATCACTTACAGGGAAGTGCTAAGAGAGGCTGATAAAAGTCTGGGAATTTTCTTTTTGTCAGCAGAACAGCCCTGAAAATTAGGCTTAGAGATGGTTGCTGAGTCATAGGGACCTTATGATTTCACTTTAATTGCCATGGACTGCTGGGGTTTGTAGTTTAGTGAGGCACAAGAGCCCTCTGGCAGGAACCAGCTTTCCTGAAGTCCAGGGTCTGATTAAATCTGATTTCCTTTTTCTTCTGTATCACAAATCTCAAGATGACATGGTCATTCCCACCAAAGAATTTCATTGCTTCTCCTCCATTAACCAGCCCATCTCTTATGATGCAATCCAAAAGAGTTGATTCTCTTGTTGCCTCTTCCACATTCTTTAATAAATCAGTCTGCAAAGAAAATGAAAAATGTGAGATGCTACCTTCTTGGAATAGTTACTCCCAATAAATATCACAGAAGTTGAAATCTCCCATTACTGTTACATCTCCTTTTTTAATGTATGACTATTTTATTTCATCATCCAAATCTTCAGTCTTGTTGGACTATAGGAGATCCTTACAAGGATGTAATTGTTGTTTTCCTTGTCTTTAATATTTACTCAAATGTTATTAACATGTTTTCCATTCTCTTAGTCAAGGGTCACCCCAGAGGTGTACACATCCTTGACAATCCTCTTCCTTTCATATTTCTTTTGAATAGGAATAGGTTACATGAGGTCTGCATAACCTGTGGCCCTCCAGGTGTTTTGGCCTCCACCTCCCAGAAGCGCTATCCAGGTGGTCCAATGGCCAAGAATTCTGCAAGCTGAAGTCCAAATCACCTGGAGGGCCAGAGGTTGTGCAGGTGGAGGTTATACCATTCCATTACTATATTCCAGTGATAAGACATCCTATTCAAATTCTGCCTATTAGATCACATTAACTATCCATAAAATTCTCCTGAGTCACCCTCTGAGGACTGGGTCTGTTGACCTCATTTCTGTGCCTCATAGTGACTATTTAATCCTATTCTCTCAAGATTTTCACAAATTGCAGTAGTGGTATTTTAACATGAGCTATTTGGGCTGTTCTTATTATTTTAAATGTTTTAACAAAAATCTTGAATACATTTACAGTGGAAAGACAGAAATGTTTAAAATTAATTATAAACAATTGTACAGATTTTATGGTTCCGATAAGATATTTACAGAAAGATTGGAGAAAGGTTTAAAAATGTGTGTGGAAGATCAGTGTCACAGGAAACAGTACACAGAAAACATGTCATATCAGCAACTATGGCTCCAAAAAAATTGAGAGCATTGTAATGTTTCAATTTGAAACAAACGCCCAATGCTCTGGCTGATGTCAGTTAGAGCATCAAGGATAAAATAGATGTAGAGGGTCCTATATTCTAACATGGAATATAGGACCCTAGGGTGGCTACCTAGCAATGAATCACATTTGGTGCCTCTAGGCAATGGGGACTGCTTTGTGCCAAATGCATTCACTTTTACATGGGCCGTCATGCTAAATAAAAGCAAGTTTACACAATTCTAATTGCAAAAAGTTTGCATTTATAGTTGCATATCATTTCCAGAGGCCACAGGTCTAGTCAGTCACATCTGCCTTAGTGACATTCCATTTAGATTACTGTAACACAGACATTCTGTCTCCAAGGCAATTGAGGGAATCCTTATGGGACTGCCAAGAGGATGCTTGGTGCATTAGTGTTAAAGGGCCCACAGTGAAGTGAATTAGGATGGACCAAAACTGGAATAATTTTCTGACTGGATGGTAACCTGAGAGATAATTTCTGAATTTCTAGTTCAGTCCATGGTATTCCGGTTATCACCTGTGGGTGTTGTTTTCATCCCTATCTCCTCTTTGTCAAATGAAGTAGTTTTTAGGAGAACAATGCCACATGCTAAATGTCTTTGCACAGCCCTAGATGGCACACCCATAAACTACATGAAGATGCTCACAAAATAGATGCTTGATGTTACCAGTTTTGAGCTCATCAATCAGATCTAGATAACAAAGAAAAAATTGCTTCCAGAAACTAGTACCTCCAAGTGATATTATCAAAGCTGACCACTTCTTATTTTTTGGCACACCTTTCTGGTATATGATCATTATATGTGCACTCTGGGAGACTGGGCACAGCATTTCCTTTTTATTCACCACATCCTTTTTTTATTCACCATATTCACCTGCCTGAATATCAACCAAAAGTAGGTGCTAGAAACAATATCATACGAAAGCTTACTGGCACAACCTGGGGATCACAACCAGACACAGTGAAGACATCTGCCCTTGCATTATGCTACTCTGCTGCTGAGTATGCATGCCCAGTGTGGAACACATCTCACCACACTAAAACAGTGGATGTGGCTCTTAATGAGACATGCCGCATTATCACGGGGTGTCTGCGCCCTACACCACTGGAGAAATTACACTGCTTAGCTGGTATTGCACCATCTGACATCTGCCGGGAAGTAGCAGCCAATAGTGAAAGGACCAAGGCAGAGACATTTCCAGCTCATCCCTTGTTTGGGCATCAGCCAGCACGTCAACGACTTAAATCAAGAAATAGTTTTCGAAGATCTACAGAGACACTCACTGGAACATCCCAGCAAGCGAGAGTCCAAAACTGGCAGACTAAAACCCAGAACCTCAACCAATGGCTGAAACCAAATGAGAGACTCCCCCCTGGGCACACGGAAAACTGGGCAACTTGGAAGGCGCTGAACTGACTGCGCTCTGGCACCACGAGATGCAGAGCCAACCTTCAGAAATGGGGCTACAAAGTGGAATCCACAACATGCGAGTGTGGAGAAGAGCAAACTACAGAACACCTGCTGCAATGCATCCTTTTGGTCTGTATGGCCATTTTAGAAAGACGGATCCATATATATCAGTATGTGTCACTTGTTTTGGCTTGCAGCAGAGAGAGACTGCCATAGTTCAAGAAATGAAAAGGAAATATATTTTCACTGGATAAAATCTGCACTCTCATATACTGTATTTACTAGAATCTAGTGCTCCCCCTTTTAAAGCTAAATTACCTTCTCAAAATTAGGGTGTACATTTGTTGTTTATTCATTCAGTCTCTTCCGATTCTTTGTGACCTCATGGACCAGCTCCCTGTCAGCAGTCACCACCCCCAGCTAGTCACTTCAAGGATACCATCCATCCACCTTGCCCTTGGCCAGCCCCTCTTCCTTTTTCCTTCCATTTTCCCACATCATTGTCTTCTCTAAGCTTTCCTGTCTTCTCATGATGTAGTCAAAGTATTTCATCTTTGCCTCTAATATCCTTCACTCCAATGAGCAGTCAGGTTTTATTTCCTGAAGTATGGACAGGTTGGATGTTCTCGTGGTCCAAGGCACTCTCAGAATTTTCCTCCAACATCACAGTTCAAAAGCATCTATCTTCCTTCACATAGCCTTCCTTATGGTTCAGCTCTCACATCAATAGGTTACTACGGGGAATACCATTGCTTTAACTATGTGGATCTTCATTGCTAGTGTGATGTGTACATTAGATTGATGTAATATAGTAATAGTGCTGAGCCAAAGCAAAAGGGGGCACTAATTCAGGAGCACCTAGAACTATTTGATGGACCTCACCTATCATTTTATTACCATAGCTCAATGCTATGCAATTTTGGGATTTGTAGCTTGGTGAGGTACAAATCCCTTTGGCAGCCCCCATGATCCCAAACTACAGCCCCCATGACTCTATAGCATTGAGCCAGAACAGTTAAAGGATGTCTTCACACCATTCTTTCAGGCCGTGCCATTGTACCAACAATTGCTGGCAAAAAAATGGAGGGGTGCTCATGGCACCCCACATGCCCTCCCTCCTCCCTTCATCATACAGAAGGGATGGGAGAGGGTGCCTTGGCCCCCTTTCCATACCCCATCAGATGGTAGAAAGGGCGACAATGTGCAGCATCCCGCATTGCCCCGTTGCCCTTTCCTCTTTTCACCAGCAATTTTTATTATTATTTCAAGGTTTTTATAATTGAGATATGCATTAGATTTGATGACACATTAGATGCAAGTAAATATGGTATTTGTTCATGGATTCTTCACACTAATATCAATCTACTACATTTTTATCTTTCAATTAATCTGCAATTAATCTACAGCTTTCAAAGCATGTAAGGGCAATTGCTTGCTCTGAAGAGTGTTGGATTAAATGATTTTCAAATTATATTCAAATGGGAGTTGCCCAAGCAAAGAGAACAAGGTAGCAAATTACTGTCTACACCCAATTGGAAACTATCTACAAGGTAGTTTGTGAACGTGTGTTGCATTTACAGCTTTCACTCTTTTATGTTCTCTACAGACAACAAAACTGTCTCCAAATGGCAATGGGTGGAGTTTGATTTGTCTCAAAATGTCTAATTTATCCTTTTATTTATAGTTCCTTGGTTTTTTGTGCTCCCCCCAACCCAAAAAAAGGAACCTATTATGTTTTTTCCACGATGACTTTGTTTATACATTTCTATTATTCATGTACTAATAAGCATGTTTTTAAAAAGAGCGATTGCAAAGAAAGGTGAAAAGAAGGTGAAAAAGGAGAGGAAAACGAGAATACAGGATATGAGCAGGGACTATCATCCACATTAATACAAACTAAATATATTCCTAAAAAACACATTTTCTTGAAATTAGCATCTGTAAAAGACATGTTCCTAAGTAACAAATCAAATGAGATCTTCTGATCATTGGACACTAGATGGAGAATATTTGGGTTGCCAACCTTGGAGTACAAGCTTTTAAATTCCCTGCCTTGGGATATAACTTAAAAGGATATCTACATGCTTTTAAAACATTTTAATAAGTATTCTATGTTTTCCCCTGCTTAGGGGAAAATAGAAATACTACATTACACTATGAATTAAAGTACAAAATGTTCAAATTTCTCTTTCCTCTGGTCTACTAAACAAGTAAAAGAAATCATGAATTTGTTTTGTACATTAACTGATCCAGCTTTGAGAAAGAAGATTTCTATTGTATGACTTGCTTTGAGCACTAATGGATGAGAATTTCTCAGACTTGTGAAAAGAAAGAAGGAATTAGTTGTTGTTGTAGCTTGTCCTAAGGAACAATCTGTGAATTAAGTAGTGGTGTGTCTAGAAATACTTGAGAGCAAGAAAGATTGAATGATTATTTAACTAAATGAGATATTTCACTTTGTGGCTGATACTTTAGTCTCTGTATTGCAACAGAACATATACTCTGCCAAAACCAACCATTTGAGCTGCCAGCAGATAAATACTTAAAATAATCTATACACCGGCAGCATCAGTAAAAATAAAATAAAAACTACAATGCTACATGATACATATGTGTTTACTTCTTACTTACTTACATATGTGTACATAAGCACTGCAGAGTGCGAAGCCGTGTCTCCCACCGCTTGTTACTAAAAATTTAAAACCGTTCACTTGCTGCCACCAAAATATGTGAGGAAGTCTCCAAAATGAAATAATGGTGTAAAATCCCAAATAAATAGGATCACCACACAGATGTAATAAAGATTTGAGACTTCTAGCTTAAATTGCCACCATAATATAAGTGATATTGGTAAAAATGATCTCTGGTTATCCTTATCTGTGTTGTGAGGCACCTTGGGTAGTGTGGAATGCTTCAAACGTGGAAATCAGTGAAGGAGGCAAGTTTAAAACACAAAAAGAACAGGTTTATTGTTATCAGAGCGTAAATTGTTGCAAAATTAAACTGTTGAACTTGGCACAAGCTTGATGGATACAAAATGGCTTGGTTGAGTTACATTAAGTCTTCCGATGTTACAATCCTTTAACTCTTTCTACAGTGAGGTACTTTATTATTTCAGTGTTCCCTATTGTGAATATTACAACTGTTTGTCCTTCACCGGATCAAACCAACGATCTCCAGATTTTCACCACTGGGATCCCTGAAACCCTTTCTTGTTAGATTCTTTTCTACTCAAGCAATCTAACGAGTTTCCACCTTCAGCTTCCTAGCTGGAATAATATTCACAAAACCTAAGAACTAACTGAATTTACACTACTCCACAGAGCCTCCTTGACTCTGCTACTCTCCTCAGGGTCTCATCCGCCTGACTGAAAATAAACTGTCGCTTTCAAACCTTTTTTACCTAAGCTCCGCCCACCTCCTCTGGCTTGTCACCATGGCAACCTATCTCTCTCTCAGCTAGGCCCTGGCCACAATGTAAAGCCTAAACACAGTTTGAAACACAGTATAATGAACACTTCTCTACAAGAGCAAATGTGTTTTTCACAAATATACTAATACAAGTTACTCTATTTTTACTGTTGTTGACATCATTACGTATACACTGCTTTTCCTAAAAACAGGAACTCAGAGTGACTTACAAATTAAAATAAATGCAATATAACTAAAGCTATACCAACATTAAAATTTAGTTAAACTCTGAATATTAAAATAATCTAAAGCATACATTTAAAACTGGAAAAGTTAAAATAGTATAATTAAATCATTACAGCACCCTCTTAAGAGCTCTTCCCTTAAAACCTTCACTTCTAGAAGTCTTGCTATTGATGTTCATCTTCAAGTTATGTCTGACTTATGGTGACCCTAAATGAAAACTATTGAAAGGTTTTCTTGGCAACATTTGATTAGAGGGGATTTAACTTTCCATTTTTTTAAAAAAATTCTCTACTTGTCAACAGAAGGACAGCAGGTAGGGAACCATTCTAGACTACATAGGATCCCCCCCCCCAAAAAAAAAAAACATAGGGGTAGCACAAAGACACCTTTAAGGACTTACCCTCATAGGAATACCCCCTATTTTAATGACACTGCTCTAGTTTAATGTCTGAATAATGTTGCCAAGTTAGTTTTTATTTATTAAAAAAAGAACAATAAGAGAAGTTGAATAAAAAAAGACATGACACACAAGGAAAAGGAGATGGCAATGTGGGAGGGGATTAATCGCTACAGGTGTTGGCTGCTGTTCTTCCTCTGAGGCCAGGGTAGTGGCAGTTGGGATGAGGGAGGGCCTTTCCTCGGCTGCTGGGCCAAGGCACAATGGAGCTGCATCTGCCTGTTCTTCTCTCCTGCTACAGACTTCAGCAATGGCAATTAGTCCTGTAAGGGACATCTAGTAACCCTAAGTCAGAAATAATGAGTTTGCTTTTTAAAAAAATATGCTATAAAATAAAGAGATAGTGCAACATGGCTGAAGCTTGGGCATTTCTGAAGCTCAAATCAGAAAGAAACAAAGAGTAGTGAAAACATAAAGCAAAGGGAAAAAAATGTAAAATCATAGAGTTCGAAAAGACCACAAAGGTCATCCAGCCCAAGTTCCCATTACTCATGAATACACAATCAAAGCACTCCAGACACATCCAGCTACTGTTTAAAAACCTTCAGAAAATGAGATTGCACCATGCTCTGAAGCATTATATTCCACTGTCAAATGACTCTTACCATCAGGAATTTCTTTCCATTGTTTAGGTGAAATATCTTTTCCTATAGTATGAATTCATTGCTCCTCGTTCTAGATTCCAGAACATCAGAAAAAAAGGATGCTCCATCTTCAGTATAACATTTTGCTCGCCATCTTCTGGACATCATCCAGCTTGTCGGTATCCTTCTTGAATTACGGTGTCCAAAACAAGACATCCATGTCTTGGAGCCAAATCCACTCCTCCTGGAATGCCAGTCTGAGGTTTTCACACCCATTTTTCATTGATATCATCATGTGAAGGTTTCCCAGCCTTGGTATTATTTATTGGTATTCTGAAAAATATTCCTTACAGTTTGTTACTATCAGTAAGAAATCCAAGCTAAAATGTGGTTATATTTTGGATCCTACCCTTCTAGGTCACTCATCACTGGAATGTGAACCTCCCAGAAATTGAAGTTTTTCCTTGGGCTGAAAGAGGCTTCCTACAATTAGCAAACCACAAAATTACTTGTGGTAATCCAGGGGCTAAACTGCCCAGGTGATTAGTATTTTTAATCTATCCAATAGCCAGGTACAATGGAGATAATTTTGATTACTTTGGTGCATGAGGTATTTATTTATATGTATTTACTTTATTTCTATACTGTCTTTTTCATAGCTAACAGCAACATGACACGGTACTAAGAACAAGCCAATGTATCAAACAAAAAATGAAAACGATCAAATCTTACATGCCATGAAGCATAAAAACAACAAAATAGAATACAATAGAATAAAAACTACAGTTCAAACTACACATCCCAGGTGGAGGAGAGAGAAGGTCCTCTCCAGAAGATCATAGTGTTCTCAGAGACTTAAACATAGAAATATGCTTCTCTGAATAACCTGGACTTGAGACATATAGGGCTTTATAAATCATAGCCAGCACTTTGAATTGTGCCCAGAAATGGATTGGTAGCCAGTAAAGCAGTTGTAGCAGAAAAGATTTGTGTTCCCTATAGCCAGCCCCTGTTAATGACCTGGCTACTGCTTTTGGACCAACTGAAGTTCCTGAGCACTTTTCAAAGTACTGTAATGTAGAGTGCATTGTAGCAGTCCAACAGGTATGAAACCAAATCATGTAATGCCATGGCCAAGTCCGACTTCTCCAATAACAAGCACAATTGATGCACTAGCTGAATCCAGGAGTACGCCCAAACTGCGAACCTGCATTTTTCAGCTGAATATGGATCTGTCTTTTGAGTGACCAGGAGTACCTCTGTCATGTCTGGATTACGCTTCAACCTCATCCAGTCCATAACAGTTGCCAGGCACTAGTTTAGCACAAGGATAACTTTCTTGAAGTTTAGTGAAAAGAAGTAGTAGAATTGGTGGCATCAGCATACTGACAGTGTACCCCCAAACTTTTCCCGGTGGTTCTATATAGGTATTAAATAGAATGGAGAACAAGACTGAACCATAAAGGAGTCCGTATTGATTTTGTTGAACCTCTTAGCATGAGTGGGCAAAATGTGGCCCAATTATTATAAAGGGGCTCCACAAAACACCCTGAGAAACTCTGCACTTTCCTACTTTTCTTCCCCCTCCAAGCTTTCCCTACTCTTTCCTACTCCCCCCCCCTCCCACATCTCCCATACCACTAAAAGCCTTTTCCCCTTGCCTTCCTCACCACCCAGATACTTTCCCCCTTGCCCTCCTTGCTTCCAAAACCCTATTTCTTCCCATCACTCAGGGGGTGCTTTGATTGTGTTTTTCCAGTATGGCAAAAGTGAGTTGAACTGGATGGCCCCTGAAATACTGTTAAATTTATTGTTGGAGATCAGGCTGAGATTCCAGAGGCTGATGGGTTCACTGATAATTTAGAAAGGATTGTGGGATTGTATCTGGATTTTCCTGGGGCTCGAAGTAATGAAGATTCAAGTAAGGGGAATCTTGTTTCTTTCTGTGAGAAATCTGACTCAGAAAGTACAAAACTTCAAAGTCAGTCAGAAGAGCCAGAAACTGCAACATTAGATAATAAGTTAGGCAAAGAGATAAGTTATACAGAAGGCTCTCAGGAAAAAAAAACACCTGGAGATCAAAAAAGGTCTTTGTTTATTTTGTCTTTGTTTACAGATCAGAACAGAAAATAGGCATCGTAGGTCAGAACGATTGCATGGGAAAGTTGGGGAGAGATTTGGTGGGAAATAAATGACTTCATGGGTGCCTATTAATTGGCAAGTTGTTTCCTAAACGTTAGTTCAGGCAACCTAGGTTTCAAGTGTGAAGCTAGGCCCAAGTTCTCTGGTTCTTGTTTCAAGTCAAGTCTTGGTTTGGGATTTAAGTTCCCTGGAAATTTTCTATGTTCTTGTTTTTATATTCATGCTCAAGTTTTACTAAGTATACCTTTTTCTTGTGGACTTATGCTGTTCTTGTTACTTTTGGGCTATTTTACTGTGGACTGTGTTACTTTGCCATCTGCATGAGACTTTTGGATTATTGTTTGGGTTATCATCTATTGCTAAACCTTTTTGGATTATACACCATTTTTATTTCTGATTTTTTCCTATAATTTTAATGTGTTTTTACAATAAACGGCTCGCTTATATTCTGGACTCTTGCGTGATGTGGCGATCATAGGTGTTCTCAGACCTGGAGTGCAAGCAACATTTGTGTTGGTGAAAATTGTTCTTCATTTTAAATATTGTATTGTTCTTTCTTTAATTTTTTTGTTTTTAATTTTTTGAGATATGTGCAGTGTGCATAGGAATTTGTTCATTTTTTTCCCAATTAGTTCACACAAACACTCTCCATCCATCTGCCACTGGCCCGGCCGCTCTCTCAAATAAAACACATTGTATCAAAAAGTTTGCCCATGCTTGATATATATACATTATATATAATATATACAATTTCTTGAGGCTTCATGATAAACTTTTGCTTCAAAAAGAGCTCCACAGTTGAAAAAGTTTGAGAACCCCTCCATTAGAAGCACCATTTTGCAGTAGTTCTGCACCTTCTTCAAGATTTAATCTGACACAGTGGTGTTGGGGTGGGTGGGTTCATGTAAGAACCTTTAGTTGTTGGTCTTTCACAATTCAGTTTTGTCACTTATGCTATTTAACAGTTTTGACCTGATAATACTTTCATTTATTTCGCACTATTTCCAAGGAACTTGATTTAGTGCTAAATGAAGGTGTTCTGTCAATAACTGGCTAGATAAGGGCAAACAAACAGAAGCCTACTCAAAACTTGTCTTGAATTGGTTTGCCCTTGTCAGTGACAAAATACTCTCATTTAACATCCAAAAAGGTTTCTTGGAAATATAGAGGAAGGGAAAGGAAAGGAAAGGAAAGGAAAGGAAAGGAAAGGAAAGGAAAGGAAAGGAAAGGAAAGGTCACATTGATTTACCATTTGGCCTACTCTGTCTTGACTGGGCCAAAATGAAAATTAAAGCATATAGGTTCAATTTGTATTGGAATGAGGTCAGACGTCCCTTGAAATCCCAATCTTGGGTGTATTTCAAGACTCATCCTTGACAAATGCCAGTCATCAGTACTAATAAACATTCCAATTCTCGATCACTTTTGCATGATCTTGCATGAAGTATGAAACTCAACACTTCTGAGTCACTACAGGCTGCTTTCCACAGATTGAGAACAATGACTAAATGGTGAGGTAAAGGCACGCTGTCCACTCCCAGTCAGCGAAATCAGTTTGGCAGACCACTTCACTTCCCGAACATATTGTGAATTGAAAAAAGCAGAGAAAGGACTCTAATACCAATTCCTTAATATTGATCTAGCCTTGCTTTCATCACTGTTTTCATAGAAACAATCATAGGACCTCTTTTTCCTATTTTGTACTGGAATAATATCCCAAAAGGTATTGCATGTATAAAAGTAAAGAAACCATTAAAGAGAAGCAGTAATCAAGAAGGGGCTACACAGAGAAGCCACTGAAATCCACAAGCATGTGGATAATTTCAACAGAAAGGAAGAAACCATGAAAATGAGCAAAATCTGGATACCAGTATTTAAAAAACTCTAAAATTATATTGTTGGAGGCTTTCATGGCCGGAATCACTGGGTTGTTGTAAAAAAATTTGGGTTGTATGGCCATGTTCTAGAAGCATTCTCTCCTGACGTTTCATCTGCATCTATGGCAGGCATCCTTAGAGGTTGTGAGGACCTCACAAACTCTGAGGATGCTTGCCATAGATGCAGGCGAAACGTCGGGAGAAAATGCTTCTAGAACATAGCCATACAGCCTGAAAAACTTACAACTCTAAAAATATAACCGTATATAAAGAACAACACTCAAACACAGGGAAACTCCAAACAAGAAACAATCAGAGACAGCTAATCACATCTCAACAAAGGATTCCCCCATGCACTAACAAGCCAGACCTAAAAACTGTCAGGCCATCAAATGCTAATCAATGTGATCAATGTAAACATTCACATCTAGCTGCAACAGACAAGAGTTCTTTCTCCCACCCTGGATATTCCATTGATATATAAATCCATAGATGCAGCTGAAACATCAGGAGAGAATGCTTCTAGAACATAGCTACGTAGCCCAAAAAAACCTACAAAAGCCCAGTTAGAGATTTGTCTCTGTTATTCTGTGTTAATGTCATCTGCTAAAGCATCCCTGGTTTCTTTGCAACAACTATACATTTGTCAATAGAAATCTAAGAGATATGAAATCTTACAAATAATTTATTTTCAGTTCCTAATACCCTGCCTCAGGAATGGGAATCATTTTTTCCTCCAGATGTTTCTGGATTCCTGGAATCTCTCACCATTGGCTATACTGAAGAGCCAGATAGTTCATATCCCTGCTTAATTACACAAAAGATTAAATTTCAGGGTCCCATCATGCAGTGGTTTCCATTGGTGGTGGGGGGGGGGGAGTTATTGCAAAATCATCAATGGCTGGATAATATTGCCCCCTCTGGTATTGTTAATTATTATTGGTCTCATCTACACATACATCAAAACCCAGGGGTATAAGTGAGGTGTAAGTATTATCAAAATACTATAAATTAAAACATAGTGTGTCCTACGAGCCCTTCCTTGCAATATCTCTCACTGTATCCAGTGGAACATGTTCAGTTTCCTTTCCCATTAGTCACTCTGTCTTCAAGTCACCT